ACTACGTGGGTGGCGGCGACAATGGTGTTAATAGTGTTCTTGCATCTGCCATTGCCGATTACATCGTGTTCATGCGAATCCAGCAGGTCAGAGCTCTTGTGGAACGTAACATTCAGGAAATGGTCACAGCTCCCACTTTGTGGTCGTCCGTGCCGGATCCTTTCGACCTGAGTACTGACTCTCGCACATGGACACACTACGTGGAATCTGTTGAATTCCAAGCTAGAAAAGTAACATGGCATGTCGATCCTTCCATCATGCGGAAGCAACCGCGGAAGAATGCAGAGCACACTTTATCTGATGTCGACCGCGCAGTTAAACGAGTCGGTGCCTGGTCACGTCTGGTTATGACGCTCATTCCATATCGAGATGTTGTAAGCATTCAGCACATTTGGTCACCTGTGGATCCCTCAATTTCGAAGCGAGCGTGGGAGTTTCACCTCTACGATCTCAGACAATCTGTCGTCTTGCTTGAAACGGAGACGCATCAAGCGGGCCCAGAGTTCTGCGGCGTGTCCCCGAGACATTTTGACTTTCAGGCCGGGACATCGACGCCGACCCATGAGCAGTGGCTTGTTCTGAGCGAGCGCCGAGCTTCCGCCTTGCTGCGCCGGCATTTACAGCTCGGCACGCAATCCTCGGATGATTTTTTCTTCTTGTGGCAGAGAAGCATGAGCCCGTATTGCTGCCCCAGCTACATGGCGGGCATCACCTCGATGATTCGCTTGCCTTGTTTTCGGCATACAGATGTGAAGCTTCCTGCGATTGAAAATACTCCTGACGACGTTTTTCTGCGTCTTGAGTATGTAAGCGCAGACTGTACTCTTCTTGCAGATCTGCATGGTCACGCCAAAGACAGATTTGTATCCTTTGTCCAGGAAAGCCACAGCTACTATGTCGAGGGGCGCAAAGTGCCTCTGTCTGTGACTGGCCTGGTACATTGTTTCGTTCAGGAGTTTCGGGCAGACGAAGTTATCCAGAAGATGATGGCAAGTCATCGCTGGCCCCGACCAGAATATTCGCACCATGTGGGCGACACCGTCGTGCCCTTCACCGCAGACGAGATCAAGCAGATGTGGTCACGGAACGCGAGAGAGGCAGCTGCCAGAGGAACCTGGATGCACTTGCAGGTTGAAGTTCTGTTGAATGCCGGCTCTGTTCAGGACGACTGCATCGAGCTTCGCTTGTTCAGGCAATTTCTTCAAGAGTTTCCAGTGCCGCTGATCGCATTTCGCACAGAGTGGTGTATCTATGCAAGCGACGAGCAGCTAGCAGGCTGCATCGACTTCGTGGCTCGCTGCTCTCAGGATGAAGTCATTCTCTTCGACTGGAAAAGGACCAAGGACTTATGCGGCAAATACAGCAATCGCTGGGCAAATATGACACCGCCCGTAAGTCACTTGGAAGACTGTGCAGGCAATCATTACCGGCTACAGCTTAATCTGTACAAGCATATCATCGAGAAGTACTACAACCTCAAGGTCCGGGCCATGCACGTTGTATGCTTGCATCCAGACCGGGAAGGTCGAGGACCCTTTGTTGATGATGTCCCGGTTATGGACAAAGAAATTCATGCAATCCTGGAGGCGCATTCCTGTCGGCTCCGCCAGTCATCCCAGGATGTTTGCGGTGGCCGTTGCTCCTACGGCTTCGTTGCAAGGACGTTGCGGCCTGCCGAGTTGGATGGGCGACTTGAAAGCAACTGCCTCACGCTTGTTCCAGAGCAGCACTTCGCTTCGAGTCGTCGTCTCTGTCTGATTTGGACTCCAGTGTCTGCCAGGACAGGGATGCGTGATTCCTACATCCACGACGAGGTCGGCGGTGCGATGACACCTGAGATTTTGGAGTTGCTTCCACCTTATTTCTTCTCCGGCGACTTCCTCAGCACTTGTCGGTGTCGTGTATGTCCCAACCAACTCATGGACTATTTGGGTGGTGCTTCTTCTCAAGAGTCCTTCGATGCCCGCATATTACAGGACATCGCGGATGAGATGGAGGTTGCAACGCCCGAAGAGATCGTGCCCTCTGCTGCGGTTGATGCAGACAATGCAGACGAACAGCCTGCCGAAGCTGACTTAGCTTTGGCCATACCTTGTCCGGGACTTTCTCCGGAGGCGCTTGTCTCTGCAAAAAAAAGACGCCTGATGCCCGGAGCATCTACCTCTGGGCAAGACTTCGAGGCTTTGTTCGATCTCACGTCAGAGGCATGTTCATCCTCCTTGAGTTCATTTCCTGCCGTCGACGAGCAGCAACCAGTGGCGTCCGTGAAAGAGCTGGCCAAGAAACAAATTGAATTCGTACGTCTCAGGCAGCCGACATGGCCTGAGGACATGGTACGTCTGAGCGCTGCAGCTATCAATGTGTACCGAACTCGCCTTACTGACATTTTCGTTCGA